ATTAGTAAAACCGAAGTTAAAGAGGCTTTAAAGAAAATGAAGTGTGAAAAAGCTGTTGAAAATAAAGATTTCTTTCACATCTAGCTTTCCAAACACCATAGAAGAGTTCCTGACCAAATCTAGTTAAGGACATGGTTTGAGCAAGAGCTCATTTGTTAATAATCATGCTTAAGCACAATATAAGCATTTATATATGATAATTCAAGTATAGCAACAAGTAACTTACTAAGCATACTAGTGAACTTGCAGTTCTAGTACAACTTTTTTTATTTCCTGTTCTTTTTTTGAAGTAGAAGAAAATAATAAAAAGCTATGCCAAACTAAGGATTCGTTTGGGACGGCTTTCTAATTACTTGGTAAAGCGGATTTTTAGTACAAAATTCTCATAAAAGCAAGAAAAAAATAGTGGTCTAAAGCTATCCCAAATGAATTCTAAGCCTAAGTACCACATTTTGATTGACTCCAATAAATTTAAATAGAACCTCAAATTTGTCTTCAATTAAGAGAAGTAGATTTTTGTAATTCTAGTTAATCCTTTCATAAAAAATCACAGCAGTATAATCTAGTGACTAGTCATCACAAATAAGCTATGATTTTCTAACTATCCACAACCCTACAATAACAACAACATCAAGCCTTTGTCCCACTACGTGGGGTCGGCTACATGAATCCTTTTTCTCCATTGTGTCCTATTAAAAGTCAAATTCTCGTTTAAATCTAATAAAGAAAGGTCATTCCTAATATTTTCTAACCAAGTCTTTTTAGGTCTACCCCTACCTTTCTTAACATAAGTCAAATCTAATACCTCTACTCTCCTAACCGGGTCATCGCAAGGCCGCCGTTTTATGTGACCAAACCATCTAAGGTGACTTTCTCTAATCTTATCTTCTACTGGAGCTACTCCAACCTTTTCACGTATATGCTCATTTCGTATCCTATCTCTAAGGGTAAAGCCACTCATCCACCTGAGCATCCTCATCTCTGCCACAAACTATCCACAACCCTATTAACAATAAATTGTGTATTGTTTAAAAATTCAGTGAAAAAATGTTTTAATTAGGTTTGTGCAAAAAATGTTTATGAGAATGCAAAAATTTATAAGTATTGAACAAGTGTCGCAGCACCCACAAATTCTGCAATGCAGCATTTCCATCTACAACATCCCAACGCCTAATTCGAACATTGCAGCGCCGGCTGCTTAAAAATTTTAACGAGATTAACACCACAATGGAGCCAAGATTAACACCACAGTGACTCACAGTATCGTTGCGCCAGAAATCGGCACTGCAGCACAGAAGTCTCGAGAAATTTAGCACCAAAGCATCGAGCATTTTAACGTTGCAACACCATATTGCACTCTCAAGCACCGCAGCGCTCAACTTTTGGAATGCCGCGGCGGATCGATTGTCAAAGCAAGAAGACATGTTGAATCAGTCAAAAGAAGCATTTGTTCAACCATTAACCATGCTAGGTCAGCCCAACACCACAACGGAGCAAGCCCAGCAACCTCGAGGCGCTAGTTTATTATATACCGCCGTGGCACAACCATGTAGAGCGCAGCGGTGCCAAAGGCCATTTCTGCACTTGGATAAATAGTTTTTCAACTCTTTTGTTGTGAGTTCTGTCATTTTCAATAGAGTTGTAATTTTGAGTGTCTTCCTTTAATTTCCCTATAGAATAAAGTCTAAGGGAGGCTAAGGAAGTGAAATATACTTTCATTTAGTGATCTTAGCTATATTGTGTAAGAAATTCAGTTGTTGGAGTACAGGAGTGTAAAGAATATCAATTGATCCTTCTGAGTGACATTTATTTGTATTAATTCTCGTGTATCTTTTTCATATATGAATGAAATGAACGTGAGTTTGTTTTTTGTGTTATCCATATATAGCTAAATCTTTGAGTTTTGAGCTAAAGATGTAAACGCATAGCAGGTACTATTATAGGCTCTTATGGTTTGAATTAGTTTATAGAGATTTTCAATATCTCTCATTCTTAATTTAATGCATAAAATGGTCATACATGTAATTAATATCTAATGTGATGTATTTCCTCGATGAAGAAATAGTAAAACAAATAGAAAAATTGAAATAAAATGATAGCATACCTAGACATAGGATGTTAAACCTTGAGGTTCTAGGGAGATATTATGATGAGGACATCTCTTAGAGATTCTGACATGTGTACCGCCAACAGAATCGTAGATCGACGTCTACGATTCAGTGTCTTTACTTTTGATGTATTTTATGTTTTATTTATTTTGCATTTCAGTTTTCCTAGTTTACCCCTATGGGGAGTGTTTTCTTACTGTAGCCCTGAGGGCATTTTAGTACTTTTTTTTTCTTTCTGATTGAGACCTATATATAGCGGTCATATGCTTTGTGAAAGGTTAATGAATGATTGAATGAAATTTTTATGTTTCTTCTTCTTCTTCTTGTGTGTGCACTAGAGAAAAGAGAGAGTCTGAGGTGAGGGAAAGCGCAATACCCACCAGTCATTGGAAGAGTTTTTTGCTTGTGGTCTATTTTCTTTTCTTTTCCCTTGTTCTCCAACCAGCCGACCTCCCCTACATCTCCTCCAACCACCGGAAGCAAGCTCCCTTGGTCCCAACCGCCAACCACTCCTTCGCAATCACTCAACCCCTTTGATCACTACCACCCCACCCCACTCCACCCGACGCCACATCCCTCTTCCCTCTTGTCAACATCCCACCTCCATGCTCCCCACCATAAGGATGACTTCAATCATCTTAATGATTTCCTAAATTAGCTCAAGTAAGCAAGGAAAGATTAGGATTTATTTGAAATTCAAATTTTAATTACAAATACATTCCATATTTGCAAATTCTAAATAGGGAAACTGTTTAATTATAAGTCCAATTTAAAATTAAGTTAAATTGGATTTATTATAATCCTTCTTTTTTTTTATAATTATAATTATAATCCTTCCTAATTTACAAAGACTTGTTTTGAAGCTTTTTAAACCCTCCCCAATCCCCTCCTTTCTCTCTTCAAGCCACCGACCCTATCATTGGGCTCCCCATTGTTTTTTCCTATTGAATCCCTAAGCCTTATTTGAATTTGAAATTAATTTTCAAATTCAATTCCCTCAAAATTTACTTAAATCTAAAATTAATTTCAGATTTAATAATACCTCTCACCAAAACCCTAAACCTAACTTAGCCTCCTCAAGCCACCCCCTCTCTCCTTGGATGCCCCCTTTCCTCTCTCCTCATCTCTCTTGGAAACCCTAAATCTCTCATGAATTTTGGAGCCAAGGAAAAGAGACAAACTCCTTCCTCCCATCTACCATCGATGCATGGCCAACCCTGAGGTCAACCACGGATTCGCCTACAACGCTCAAGGAGAAATCGACATCTGCCTTTCTCCATTTTATGATCCGGATTGAGACTATGAAGATTCAGTGGAAAGCTACATCAACCGCATACTCTATTGCCTTGCCGAGACGATTGAAGAGCAACGACCCAAGGGACATTGGCAAATCGTCGGCCGACCAACAACTTCTCTTCCTCCGGCTATTTCTCTGGCAAACAATACCCTATGCATCACTTGTTTTATGGTGGCATCACTAGGGTTGCTTCTACCCTTTCTCCACTAAGCCCAACTTCAAGATCGAGAGTGAGGGAACTCAGGATGAACAATTCCGATGTTAAACCATGGATTTTTGTTTCATTGCTATTAGTTTTACTGTATTGTTTTTGATTACTTGCAATTCTCTTGTTATTCTCCTTTATAATAGCTTGCTATTACTTAATCTTCTAACGGAAAATTCTAAGAATCCGACTTGGTGAAACATAAATTTTTAATTAGCAATATAAACATTAAAACTATTGTTAATTTCCAAAAGCAATTCTTGTTCACTTGTATGTTTCACATCATATTATCATTATAGGAAACCCATAAACCTCCATTTTCACCACTAAAAGCTCGATAGAGATCTAGGGATGCATACACTCTAATCTACATTTAAATTAAGAGTCTCGTCAGGAAAACTATGTTATTTTGCATTCATTAGTCAAAAACACTTTATTTACATTAGTATCCAATTTTCTTGCAACTTCTTATTAAATGGCAAAAACTCAAAAACATCTTTTTTACATTCAGTAAGATAAATTGTGCTTCTACATTAGACAGTTGTAGTTTAATTGCAATTAAGCAGAATGGTTCCTCGTGGGATCGACAGTCTTCTGTATTACTTTATTTCTTAATATCCAGTAGGTTATTATTATTTTTATATAAAAAAATCCTAAGCATATTCATATTGCATGCTAGCTTTGTGTGTAGCTCACACCGTTGACCGCATAGCCCCAATAAAATATTTGGTGCCATTATCGGAGAAGTAACATGTGTATTTCAATTTTAAACTATATTGTTGAAAACAAGTGCATGTTTATACCTATTTGTATCATGTATCAATTTTTTTTTTTTTTAATGCTTGTTAAAATTTTGAAAAAAATAAAAAAGAATTTTGTTAATTTTTTAGTTTGTGATCTTTATTTTATTTTGTTGCATGCTTAGTAGATCTAGTAAGAAGCCTTTATTGTTTAATTCTTAGATAGAAAAGTCTTAATAAAAATTAAAAACAAAATTAGAGTTGTCTGAACCAATGAAAGATCTCGACCATCCTGGACCTCTTATAGAGGATGCTAACCCTATAGTAGAAGAAATCTACAAAAATATCAATAAACCTACTATCCAGGAAAATAACTTTGAATTGAAACCTGCCATAATTCAGATGATTCAAAATTCCCAATTTGGGGAAACACTTGTTGAGGATTACAACTTATACTTAGCTAGCTTCTTAGAAATCTATGTAACATTATGTATAATGATATCAACGATGTTAGACTTAGATTATTTCAATTTTCTTTAAAGGACAAAACTAAGATGGAGTTGAATTATTTGCCCCTAGGCTTTATAACCACTTAGAATGAGTTGACACATAAATTTCTAACTAAGTATTTTTCACCTTAAAAAACTACCAATCTTAGGAATAATATCACATCTTTTATCAAGTTTGAAGGAGAGTTAATTTATGAAAGTTGGGAGAGATTTAAGGAAATACTTAGAAAATATCCTCATCATCGTATACCTGATTGGTTAGTTATTCATACTTTTTACAATAGATTGGTAGCATCTCTTAGGACAATTATAGATGCAATAGTTGGAGGATCTTTAATGTTTAAATCATTTGTGGAAGCCTATAAATTATTGAGAAAATAGCAGGTGTGTATGAATTAGATACATTATCTATTTTGACTGCTCATGTGGCTGCAATTTTAAAGAAGTTGAATACTATTGGAGTTAATTAAGAATATGGATCATATATGAAATTGGAAGAATAAAATTTAAATTTTATTGATATTAGTAATACACTAGAGATTAATAATATGAACTTGATTTGAAATATAACAATCTCTATTCCAATATATATAATCCAGGTTAGGAAATCATCCTAATTTTAGCTGGTCAAATAACAATATTTGTGATAACAATCAATGGAATACATGTAATTCTAATCAAGGAGTAAATTGAAATAATCCTTAACAGCCTGTAGTAGATCCTAAACCTTCATATCCCCCAAGTTTTAACCCAAATAATCAATTTTGATAGAGAAAATGCATTTTGAAGAGGTTGTGATTCAATTAGAAAACCAATTACATAGACAGACTACTTCAATCAAAAGCTTAGAAAATCAATTAGGACAGCTTGTAATTTCCTTTAGTAATCGACATCATGGAACTTTACGTTGTAGCACTCATCATGTTTATATATAGGGGTGTTTGTTTTATATTTCTCATTGCATTATTTCACTCATTCCCTCCAAGTTTTTATATTTTTCTTGCTTGAGCTTTTGCAAGAAATGGACCCAAAAATATTTGGTAGCAAGAAGCATTCATCATCATCTTGTGCCAAGAATAGATTCATCTAAATTGAGGTTGAGCAAAGGTATGGGGCATTGGTGGTAAACTATGTTACACCAATACACCTATTTATGAAGGCGTGCTGTATCTGATACACAGATATGCCTCCGATATGGTATCGATACATGTCAGAAACGACTTTGTCGTATCCAATTAAAATACTATTTAATTTCAAAAAGACACGCATATCTAATACATGTGTCCGTTGAAAAACAAAAAAAATCCGAAAAAAGACCCGTCATATTTACTTCCGCAGCTACAAGCAAGGTTCTCTCATTTCCGAGATGGATTTGAGTCTCTTCATGATATGGGAATATTAGAAATTGCTAATCTTTCACTCGATAAGCCTGAATTAGAAGTTATGATATTTATTAAAGATCATATAGAAGTTCAAAGACAAACCACTGAAGAAGCTTAATCATATCATCCCTTCTTTTCAATAGTTGAAACTTCATGTGCTAGACAATTTATGTTTATGTTTTTGTTGATGTGCTAGACATTTAATGCTTACTTTTATTTTGATATTATAAGCTACAAGGCTACAAATAATTTTACTTTCATTTTTTTTGTAATTTCAAATATTATTCTTTGATTGCTTTCTTAATTTTTACGTATGATTTATAAATTATAATGTTGTGTCCGCGTTGTACCCATATCTTGTATTTTTAAGAATTGACGTGTCTCGTATCCGTATTGTGTCATAACCGTGTCGCCGTATCCGTATCGGTGCAACATAGGTGGTAAACAAGCAATTAATTCCTTAGTGTGGCTTTCAGAACCTATGTGGGAATGTGATGTAATTAATAGTGAACCGGAATTGAGAGATTTTCTATAAGGAACCCTATGTTGCTATTGCCAATGTGGTAAGTAAAATTTTTGCGAATGGAAAAGAGGTAGTGGATAATAGGTGTTATGCTAGAGATAAGTGGGTACCATTTGACCCTGTAACAATTAATCATCTCTAAAAGCTGAAGGATTTTGGGTTTCATGAATATTCCCCTTTTAGTCTAGCTCCTGTAAATCTTGATGAGTAGCTAAGAGTCCTGTCCGAGCCTGGTATTGGGGTTGTGTGGAAGAATAAGGAGATCAAAATTATTAATTTTCCTACATCTTGCTTAACCAAATTGTTAAAAGCTTTGCACTATTTTATTTATGCTCATCTTTTGCCTAGCAAAAATATTAGTTAGGTAACCAAAGACCATGCTATGCTCAATTATGTTATTCAAGTTGGTTACACTATAGATGTGGGAAAGCTTATTAACTCTTCTTTAAACTACATCATCATGGGCACTATTTATGTGGGCTTGGGGCATCCTTTCCTTATTTATGTTGTGTTAATGCCAGTGTGAGGGAAGATACTATTGAAGAACTTTTTTCTCATTTCTGCCCGCACCAAAAGAAAAATTGAGAGCTTCAAAAGACTATTTTTATAGAGGTTAGTCCTAATGAGCCCGTTTGACTAGTAGGCATTCTAGGACACCTAAATCACTAGGTGAGCAGGTGATTGATTTGAGGGAGCAATTGGAGGGTGTGACTGAGTTTTGTAAGGAGAGTAGGGAATGACAATCTCATTACTTGGGTATGTAGGAAAAACATTACCACTATAAAGCCGAATTCAATGAGGCACTAGTGGGAATGTTTAGAGTCCCTTTGTGGAGAATCCAGACCAAGTACATTTTCCTATTGCACTAAAATACCAATCATTCATTAATTTTAAATATTTAAAATGAACAATACATAATAATTCATAATTTGAAATGCTTAATAATTAAATTAAATATATCTTTTAAGTTATTAACTCGTTTTGAGGTTAGAAACTATACACTCATACACTGACTATTGAATTGAAGAATGAATAATTGAGTTTAGAGAAAAGAAGCTGATAGCTTAAATTAAGAAAAACATAATAAACTTAAATATGGAATTAGTAATCTTACCAAATTCTTATATTAAATCAATTAGGAGAAGTTGAAAGTAACACTACTATTCAAAATCATTAATTTTGTACTCCATAAGAAAAAATAAAAATATGAAAAATCAAATGAAATTTTTGAAAAAAGAGAAAGATGATAAAATTTAAAAATTGGTATTAATTGAACCTCAAGTTAATAAGCATTCTAATACTCTAAATCAAATAGGACATTGTCAGTAAATTACTACATATAATTGTGCACAATTGAACTTCCAATTTAACTAAAAGCACAACTAATCCCTAAGTAACATAGTATACATTTCTAAAATAAGTAATAAACTTTACACCTATACTCATAGTTAATAGATTGAATGCAAGCAATGAGAAGGGTGACTAATTAAGATAATTATTATAATATTTCATATTAGAATAATAGGTGATCATTCTAAGTTACTTGTAGACTATAACGTATTATCATATATTTTAGTAATTTTAAATTATCAAATTTTACTTTGGATATTAAGTTAATCAATAGGTGATTTCACCATTACTTGAGGACAAGCAAGAGTTTATGTTGAGGGGAATTTGTCAAGTGTAAATTATATATTATTTATTGAATTAAAATTCAATGAAAATGTGTTGTTCTAGTTATAATTATGAAGAAAATATTCAAGAGAAGACGAAAATTCATAATTGAGCGAGCGCTGCAGCACCCACTGATTCTGTGCCGCAACATTTCCATCTACAACGCCCTAGCGCCTAATTCAAAAATTTCAGCGTCGATTGCTTTTGAATTTTAAGGAGATCAGTGTAGCAATATAGCAAAAGATCAACACCGTTGTGGAGCCAAAATTAGCGTTGCAACACCGTTGTGCGAGAAATCAGCACAACAGCCTTGGAGTCTCAGGATAACGAGTGCTACAGCACCGAGCATTTCAACACCGCAGTGCTGAATTGCATTTTCAAGTGTCATAGCACTCAACTTTTGCAGGGTCGTGGTGGAGCAGTTGCCAAAACAAGAAGCCATGCCAACTAAGCCAAAAAAACATGCAAGTTCAACCATTAACCACGCAAGATTAGCCTAGCGTTGCAGTGGAGTAAGCCTAATAACGTCGAGGCACTAGTTCATCTTATACCATCGCAGCGCATCCATGTCGAGCGCTGTGGCGCTTAAGGCCATTCCTGCACTTATATAAATATTTTTTCAGTTCTTTTGCAAGGGAAGTTTTATCTTTTTTAGTGGAGCATTGTACTTTTGAATATTTTTTTTAGCTTCCACTTAGAGTAAAGTCTAAGGGAGACTAGGAAAGTACAAGATACTTTCACTTGGAGAACTTAGCCTATATTGTATAAGCATTTCTATTATTGGAGGAACGAGTGTGAGAATATCAATTGATACTCTCGAGTGACATTTATCTTTATAAATTCTCCGGCATATTTTTCTTATATGAATGAAATGAACATAAGTTTGCTTTTTGTGTTATCCATGTCTGGCTAAATCTCTAAATTTTGTTCTAATGATGTAAATGCATAGCAAATATAAATGTAGACTCTTGCGCTTTAAATTAGTTTATAGATTTTTTCAATATCATTCTTAATTTAATGCATATAATAGTCAAGTATGTAGTAAATATCTAGTATGATTTATTGCCTCGATGGAGGAATATTGGAACAAATAAGAGTATTGAAATAAAATTTTGACATACCTAGACATAGGATGTTAAATCTTATAGGTTCTCTAGAGATATTATCATTATATGAAGGTCATAAACCTCCCTTTTCATCCCTACAAGCTCAACAAAGATTTAGAAATGCATATGCTCTAATCCATATCTAAAATTAAGTCTCTTTAGAAAAATTATGTTATTTTGCATTCATTATTCCAAAATAATTTATTTACATTAGTATTCAATTTTGTTTCAAGTTTTCATTAAGTGGAAAAAAATACAAAAAACATTTGTTACATTCAATAAAATAAATTGAGTATTTATATTAGACAGTAGTAGTTTAATTGCATTTAAACAGAAAACTTCCTAGTGTGATTGAAACTGTTTTCTATCACTGTATTACTTTATCGGCATATATACTTACGTATCTAGTGGGCTATCATTATTTTTATATTAAAGAAAATGTAAGCATATTTATATTGTATGCAAGCTTTGTATGTAGCTCACATCGTTGACTGCATAGCCCTCATCAAACCCCCACTCCACACACATTAATGCCACCAAATAATTATAAACAATTTTTTTTT